CCCCCCGCCCCTCCACTCTTCTAATTTTCCTATTCTTCATGTTTGTTTATTGAATTGATATCATTTTTGTGGCAGTAGTAATTAGAACTAAATACTTAAGGATTTTATATTTGTGGATTAAAGTAACATAGGAAATTTTATTTACTCAACTTGATCATATTTTTTAATGATAACTGAGATTTAAAGCCTTAAATCCTCTCGTTCTTCTTCGTTAACTTCTAGAAAAGCTTTTATTTTTGGAAATATTTTAATTATTTCAACTATGATCTTGTTATTTTACTTGCAGGTTCAATTAAAGTTTCTCTACGAGTTTGTGCTCTACTGCATTGAACGTGATCGTATACATCTTCCATCTGCCTCAAATAGATGTAAAATTGGTTAGGATTCTTTTAAAATAAATGCGACTAGGTAATGTCATTACAATTTCAATTTTATCAGAGATTTCTTTTAACTTAGAACATGCTTATGCAAATTGGTTTGACCACATGGGTAAGTTCGTGAAACGAGTTGAAATTGGCTAAATCTATTTTCAATGAAATTTGACTTTATCTCATAAACTTTCAGAAACTTCAAGGACGAATTCATCATCAACGGAAACTGAAGATACGAAGGGTAACATTAAATTCCTGAGTAAAGTTTACGATAAACATCGAGTTTATTGGAAAATATTGATGAAAAGCCTGATTTGTTTGCTTTGTATATTCGATTATTTAGATATATGCCTATATGTGGCTCATTATACGTCAATGTAGTTTGTTGTTTAACAGTAGAATGACCTATAGAACAGGGAATGAACATTGTAAGAAGAGCAAAGGAAAATCGAGGCATCAAAATATTCCTAAAAAATTAAATTTTTGCTGATGAATCGTTTACACTTTAATTCTTAGATATAAAATACTAAATCACATTTTGTTATCCCAACTTCGTATTTCATTTTCTGCTTCCTTAGTTAGCTTACTTTTCATCCCTCCAAAACGCCTTGAATTTGATAATAATTCCGATGCATTTTCTACAACCAACACCTAAGCTACAGGTGGAATAATTAGAAGAGGAATTATTTAAATATTTATTCGTTTATACAAATGTCAGGCTTTATGATATGTATAAATAGCCTTTTAGTTGACTTCAGGCTTTACAGAGGGGAGGAAAGGCAAAGTAAAAAAGTAGGTAGAGGGGGAACAGAAGAGTGATTCACATAAGTAAAAGAGAAGGGCACATAGGTAGAGACAAAGTTAAGGTGAGTACTATGAAAGTGGTGAAACTTGACATACAGTCGGGTCATGGTAATTTAAAGTCAGAAGTCAACTGTCGGCGAATAGACTTTTTTGGCGTATGATTATACGTTGCCCAGGGTGCACCACGTGTAGGCAAGTCTATCACGCAATCTCTGTGCAAATTATCATGATATAAGTCATTATCTTCTATGATTCAGGTGTGTTCCAATCATAATACGTTCTCATAGTCAACACGAAGTCGAATGAAGAAAGTTTTAAACATGCACCATGATTTAGTATTCATATATGATCATGCTGGATTCTTGGTTTGGTCAAAAGGGGATCTGTTATAATATCCCATTTCACTGTATCGTGAGTTTCATTATTGGTGTTAATCACTTAAATTGCTAAAACGTCATAAACAGCTATGATTTAAATGGACAAAGGAAGTAGCTTGCTTCGATCTGCAACAAAAAATCTTTGTTCTAACTAATGGATACCATTCTAGTGATGTTGTCATAAAATCTCGTACCTTGTTTACACAGGTATTAAGCACAAATGTCTTTTTTTATTTTAGAAGAGGATTCTGACCCATAAACTCTGGAAATATAGTTGCGAAATTATCCGCTCTCTATTTCAAAAATCTCAACTCTAGACAGCTTGACTCCGAAAACACTTTGCCAACATTTTAGCACTTCCTTAAACAAACATATTCCGCACCTTTATATGATCTTATAAATGGTATTTCTTTATACAATTTGAGAGAATAGGAAAATTGTGATATTATAATTAAACCTGTAGGGAAGCTAAAACTCGACACGCGGGTAGATTTGGCTGCAGATATTGAATATTTACATTGTTTGATCGATCGATCGAACAAGCTGTTTCCGCCTACTTGAGGCTGACATAAAAGGTGATTAATGGGCAGTAAACTCGTTTGACCTCTCCTCATGTAAACCACATTACTGGATTTACACCACCGGTATTGACTTCGTAATCACTAATTTGGGAGTGGGTTAATATGCATGCAAATAAGAGATCTCATTCTACAAATGGAGGTTTGAATTCACTTTGTGTGCAATCAGTTTAGAAGGAAATAATTCAAAGTCCTCATTGAATCATGTAATTTCTTAATCGTGGAAAACCTAAGGCAGAAACTCGGATGTCAATTGTGCGATTGCACTTAAAACACATCGGTAGATTGAGTAGAAAGAGAACTTGAATGCCATCGCATGAACTCTTCCAGTTTAGAAATGGTGAGTAGAGAAAATCGCGCATCCCTTTGTTGTTTGTGCCAAATGGTTGTTGGGGTGATGAAGGAATTGTTTGCGACAAAGTTGGTGGGACAAATAAAGGTTGACTTCAAATCGAACACTGATTCCATCACCTAAGTCAAGTCTGGGTTGACCATTCAGAAACTTTTTTCATGAGTTTGGAGGAATGCAAGTGGCTTAAATCGGGTGAAACAGATAGAGTTGAGGTTTATTGTTGTCAACACTTGGAAAGAAGAAATCGGTAATCAAGGGATAATTGTTAAAAAGTTGATTTAACTGAAATCGGATAATTCTACAAACTGATAGTGACCAACCCAAACTCCACAAAGAATGAATGACCTTCCGAAAAATTGAATAAATATCATCGGAGGTTTTACCGCATCCTCAATAATCGCTTGACCCCCCCCCCCCCCGAACTCCGTTTTTATCACCTTTTTCAATGCAAGTGAAGTCAAGAAATCATTACCTAAATTCAAGAATTGCTATTTTTTTCATAAAATTGTAGAAAAACCGCAAAAACAATTTAAAAGGGTTGAAGTAGTAGCGAAAATTATACTGTATAGTACCGTATTTGTCATTTTAAAACAAATTAAATTTTAATGCTGCCTCCAGATACGCAATTTTTTATTGCTGTTGAGGTTTTTTAATTTGAATTTCACACCTAGACGTGATGTGTAGCGAATTAGCTACCTCAATAACCTTGACTATTCTCAGAAAGCTCTATAGCAGTTTCTTCCAACTCGAAAGTCCCTGGGAATTTGCACGGAATACGTTTATTCAGTACGTATATTGATCGCAAAGTGTACACGCATGGAGCTACTCATGATCGGGATGGGGGATTAGGTTAAACAGAGGTCGATGATTGGTCACTGTTTGTACGGTCGCTGCACACAGAGTTGTACGGCCGCACCTCCCAATCCTGGCGAGCAGACATGCAGGCATACGATGACACACACAGCGATAACGTGTACCACAGATGTTATCCTCAAGATTATCATATACGAACATTTTCATTAGTTGCATCTGGATTGAATTTGTGCTTATTATAATATCATTACAGTGTTTACTGTTGGTTAATATTTTCTGAACTTTTTAGAAGTGATTATTAATATAAATAATGCAAAAAATAGAATGAATTATAAAATGGGTATTTATGCATAGATGCTGCCATATCTATTTTTAAATTTCGATCACAATTAACCACAGAGATTATTATGTTTAAAAGCGCTACATGATTGTTAATAATAAATAAATTTATGGTATAGCGGTACTAACACGCTACGCCGTTGTATCAAGGGAACGAATTTGATTGGAGGAAGGCATTATTTACTGCGAAAGAGGAGCAGAATACGAAAATAGGAGAATTTTGTGCAGAAAATGAACAGAAGCAACTTTGACACAAGGTTAATCCCGGATCTAAGAGGTGCCTGTGTGAAAGCAGGCAAATATCGATGACAAGGTTTGCGATTTCTAACGTTTTCATAGCTCTGTATTTCACAAACCCCTTTCATATTCAAATCAAAGTTAAAGACTCATCCCTATTTTCCAAAATTTCAAACGATTGGTGGTGATGTCACTTCTAGCTTTGAATTTGAAGATCTGTGGGTGGTGTACCCCCACGATTTGCAGCAACACCATTAGGCCTTATAATTGTAAAGTATTTTCAGCATGCTACGGGCCAGCAAAGCAGAACACATCCAATCAGAAGTAAAAGTCTATAGTTTCACCCAATCAACTCTACCCTGAATGTAAATATGTATTCAAGTATAAAAGTGCAAATCTTTGCTATCTTCGATAACACTTTGATGCAACGCTAGTGAACTAGACTGGCTTATTTGAAAAATCATTTATTGATATATACTATTGAGTCTTAAATCCCATGTGCCCGAAGCGAACATTCAAATGAATTTTCGATTTGCGGTCGCGTTGTGTTATCCAGACTCGGCCTATTTGCCTTGGAGCTTTTAGTGGTAACAATCATTCCCCACTTGTGTTATTTCAGTTCCTCTCTTACAGTCTTATTTCACAGTGTCCGATGTGCCAATACCGTTCGAATTCGTTTCTATTTTGTGACTAATAAGTAGATCAAGTAATATGTAGAGGATCATCCAAAACTAGCCAAGATGCAACATTGCCTTCTAGAATCCTTTATCAATGAAAGCATCATCTACCCGGAAAAATTCCACTCCTATCGTTACACTGATTTCTCAATTTGCCATTAATGCTTGACTTCAATGTAACAATATCATTCCGGCGACAGTTTCAAATTGTCCACTGAATTGGACTTCACTCATGAATCCTCACGGCAAGCTGGTTGGAACCATTTCACAAAAGGAACGAAAGGTTACCGGCAGAGGGCACTGCAATCCTATCCACAACTGTTGATGAAAAAAGGGAACATTGAACTGTACGGCGGTACCGCAGTATATTTTTAATTGGCGATGCGATAAAGGCAAGCTTGAAGCTACCCTCTCGGAGAGCCATTGCAGTGAAAAACAGAGCATCAGGCTTTTGGGCAGTAAGAAGTCTTCTTAGTTTTCTCATCTCAAAAAAATCTATGTGAGACGCCATGGAGAAACAAAACGAAAGCTTGTATAAAGTCTTGGCAAAGAAGGCTAATCCAAACGACGAATTAGCTAAGCCTTGACGCATATCCTACAAAATTAGAAAATCGATTCCCTTTATGAGTGTCACAACCATTTTAAAGAAATTTGTACAATCTGCTGGTAAGCAAATGTTGGTGGAAGAGGAAGCAATGCCTTTCTTCCAACGACGTGACCATTGTTCTTTAGGGGCAATAAGCAATAGGAACCTCCATGGCCCAATTCCCAGAGTGAGAGCTCATTTTCCTCCGAGCTGGGTAGAAAATAAATCCCCAATACCACATTTTCCCCACAGTTTTAGCTATGCATACATTTTCCCATATAATTACAATACATTCACCGATCCACAATAAAAAGCTGTAATATACTTTTCGCCAATGGATATACGCAGAAGGAGAGATTGTTTGAGAATCTACAACAGTAAATCGTCGATCGATAGTTTTTAGAAGTGCAAGGAAAACAAGTTTAAGCATGAAAGACAGCAAAGGTTTTTTGTCTCCTTTATTCCATCTTAAATACACGTCTCTTAAAATCAAGGACAGTCCACATAATTGCATGAATGATCAAGAGGAATGCAGCGTGATATAAAAGAAAGGTGGTGATCAAGAAGGCATTAAAATTACATAGCTTTAGGTGAAAAGGAGAAAATCAGATCGCATGGTCGACATAGGGGCAAGTCCGGTTTGGAATCTGGTCCAGAGTTTACAAAGACGTAGCAAATTGAACACACCAGCCGACCACAGCGCGAACAAAGAATCTAAGGGAAGGATGAGTGGTGGTATTGTTGAACAGATTCTGTAATTATCACTCTCGTAATGTCTTTTCAATAAGCACTTACGCAGGGTGTACGCGTTGCTAGGAGAACATCACAACTGTGGCAGGTATCCAATGTACCGGGGATGAGCCTAACTGCTGGTTGTGTGTATACTCGGAGCATATCTTGCTTGATTGACGACTTAGTCAAAGAGCCTGAATCAGGAAAAAATCCTTTAAAGGCGTAATTTATAATTCCAATTATTCTTCGAGTAAAAAAGAAACTTTACCTCGACCATTAGGGTTACATTTATTCACTTTCACGTTAGCCAGCCACTTAAGGGTATCCTTTTTCACAGAAGGGTACGTGTGTTTCTAAAATAGGCAAAAATTATGGCAATTATAGCACTCTACTGATGTAATTCAGTAGAACACATGAAGTCAGAAAGACCGTTAATTAGAGCTTTAATGAGAGCGTAACACTTGCCTCAACTGGACTAATTATTAGCTAGTGCTTAATAATGCCGTCTCGAACAAAGCGTTAGAATAAACTCTCTACGAACTCTTTCCCAAGCAAATAAGGAAATTACTTTTCAAAACTCCTTTTAAGAAGAGGAGTACTATGCTAGGGCTTCTTTTTTGAGAATTTCGATGTCTACCAACCCTTTTATTAGCCAGAATTCACCTGCACAATTGATCGTTTCATTAAGCAATCATGAAATCTGAAATACTCTCCAGACGTTCGAATTGTCCCATATAAAGTTGAAATCGCTTCAATTTTCAGCATGAAATATGCTGAACGCTTATTTGAAAATCAGACTGAAGAAAAAGAATTAACTTACCTCAGCATTACGTATCAACCTATTCAGTTCGTCATCGTACTTGCCAAACAGTTTCCCAACTTCACGAATTCGCATCCGCAGCCGATTAGCATGAATATCAAGAGCAAGAGTTTGAGTTCTCAAGTTCTTGAGAGCCTCTTGTATTCGTTGAGCGGTGTGTGGAATTCGCCATTCATACTGCAGAAAGAGGTCCTTCCATATACTACAGGAAGGAAAGAAGTCAATAAGAAGAATCGGTCTCAATCGATGAAGTTAGATTGGTCATGACTTCCAATCTCAACATTTTATTCTTGTTTAGCATTGTGGAGGGGGAAGGGGGTGGATTAAGAAAGGCAGAATTTGAAATGTCTGAAAGCGATGGGTTATTTATAACTCTAATGTTCACTAATCAAACTGTTCCCAATGCCCTAGCGGCTTAAAATTAGGAAAAGTTCCACTCCTATAAAATTTCACTTTTAATGCGACAAAGTATTAAGTTCACAAGATATTGGACTTTAGCGGTATGTACTCATCTCAATTTCCGTAGACCAGTTCAAATTTGCTAGATCATGGTCAAAATTGTTAAACTTTCTGTTAAACAATTTCAGCTACTCCCACCAATTAAAAATTACTACATTTATTGCGTTGATGGGGACAATGTTATTAATAGTAGTAGTAGTAGTAGTAGCAATAATAGTAATATACTCAATGGTCATTCGAGCCGTCTTATCGACAAATATATATTCGTAAGGGAGGATACGTGGGTAAAGCACACTGCCACCGGTACTCATAGCCAAGCAGAATAAGACAGCATTTTTATTCACTAAGAAATAATAAAGTATGGGAAATAGAATGGAGAACTAGGAGTAAGTTGAGCAAAAAGTAGGCTAAAAAGCACAATACTTTATGAGCTCATTTGATACATTTCACCTTCAAGATCTAAGCGAGGGGTGTGCGATAGACTTACCTCCATGTGGTGCATCCCGGGCAACGTATACTCATACGGCAAAAAAGTCCATAAACTGGCAGTTGCCTTCTCATTTCAAACTACCATCACCCCACTGTATGTCATATTCGACTACTTCCACAGTACTCACCTCACCTTTCAACTACCTTTGTCTCCCCCCCCCTCTAGACTTTTTTCACTTTGTTGTTCCTCTCCCTCTGTGAAGCCTGAAGTCAACTAAAGGGCTAAT